ACATATGATTTTTCTTGAATACATCGGGCATTATCGATAGTACAATTCCTAATTCTAAAATACTTTTGAATATTTCTAGAACCCAAATGATTCTTCCTTCAATCGAAGTGGTACTTTCTCAAATACTGCTATAAAAAGTGTAGTGTAACACAAAAACTGCGAAAACGTTTCTCGTTTATTGTGAGTTCCATGGTTCCAGCGACAATACAATGAGTGATAAAGTTGAAGTTTCCAGCGTCAAGTTTGATTGAACATGATGGAACCAACTTTGGGCAATGGAAATTTCAGATGATGCCTCAAAGGCTAAAAGTATTTATATTTAGATGGGACTCTTCTCAGGCCTAACAACTCTCAAACTGATGAGCTTACAAAATGGTGCAAGAAAGATGCTCAAGCTATGTTTGTACTAACCGCAGCCATGAACGTTGATCAAATAAAATAACATTGATAGAAAGTTGTGAAAATGCAAGAGATGTTATTTCTACGTAAAGTCAATCTTTGAACTTAAGTCGGAGTCAAATAAGATGATACTTCACGAGCATTTTTACCAATATAAGATGGCTACAAATGATACTATAGCACAGCATGTCTCGAAGATACAGAATTTTGCGAAACAAATAAAAGATGCAAGTGACGACATAAGTAATATGGCAATTATGACGAAAATATTTGGTAGGTACCTTGCCTATTAACACTTTCGCTGCGCATGTCATAGGCGACATGAGTGTACGTACCCTAGTGCATGTGTCGCCTATGTACGAAAAGTGTACCTATATTCCGTACAAATTTAGCCCTGGTGGAGAGTGAACGAATTTTTATCAGTGTGTTAGAAGAGTATTGAAATTACGATTTTTTTTTCTCCGTTTGCGAGTTTGTTGGTGTTGGTGCCTAATCACGTGTGATTGAAAAACAAGGGAAACATGGATAGTGAGGCCGATCCCTCGGGCTTAAACGTCCCAGATTGTTTTTCAAAAATGACAAAGAACTCTCAGATTCCGAGCTAGAAAAGGCAGACATCCGCTCTGGACATCTTAATTCAGAGTCTAGTGCTGATGTCGCCTATGTGCGAGAATTTCAGCTCCTGTGAAAAGATCCCATTTGATATTCGCAGCGAACGTGTTAAGTATAGAAATGTAAGGCAAGCATGGTTGTCATCAGATTCCACCAAACAAACGATTGATAATTTAAAGGTTCGACTTTTGAATGAAGAGAGTAACCTCAAAAATTACGAGGAAACCGAACATGCTTTTGCAGCAATTTCCTTTAATAAGAAAAAGCAAGAAAATTAAAAGCCGAGTGGTCCTCTATGTTATAACCGTAGAACGAGAGGCCATATTTCAAAATACTGCAAAAGAAAGAACCCCAGAAAACGAGAAAGACCCAAAAATGACAAAAACGAAACAGCGTTCAATGTTGGAGTTGAAGCAAAGTGTTTTTTTTTTTTGAGAATGAAACATGGATCATGGACAGTGGTGCCTCTGCTCATATAACTTATACTTAGGCTACACTTCTTTCAAACGTTAGTTGGTATCTTTAAGTCCAGAGTAACACTTGGAAACGACCAACACCTGTCGGTAGAAGGAAAACGTACGATAAAAATACAAAAACTCATTCAAGTGGTATGGTACCACAGTTTTGTCAGAATTTGTTTTCTGAGGGTGTGCTTAGGTACAGATAGGAAAATGAAATTTGCTGAATTTCAAAAAAGAGACAAAGGTTTTTGAAGGTTCGAACCTTGTAGCAACAGCTGTGAAAAACTCGAGCAATACCTATGTAATGCTATCCAGAATCATGATCTGCACTGCAAATTTAACAGTTTCTGACAATTTGAAATTATGGCATGATCGCTGCGGCCATGTTAATGTGAAATATCTCAAGGAAATGGTCAAGAAGGACTTGGTTGCAGGTGTAAAGTTCAGTGATGTTGAGAACTTTTTCTGCGAGTCTTGCTTTATGGATAAGCAGCATAAACAGCCTCTTAAGAAACCTAGGAAAACTAGAGATGGGGAGAGAATCTATAAAGATGTATGCGGGCATATTGCAACTGCGCCGGTACGAGGAATGAGATACTTTGTAACTTTCAAAGACGAAAAAAGTGTTCATCGTTCAGCATACTTTATTAAGCACAAAACGTGTGTTTATGAGTGCTTTAAGAGTTTTAATGCAAAAAATAATACAAAATTTGGACATTCGGTAAATGTTTTGTGTACTGACGGTGCTTCGAGTACCTCAACAACGAATTCAAATGTTATTTAGGCAAAGAAGGTATAGAACTTGAGGTAACCGCGTCGTATACCCCTCAACAAACGGTCGCGCGGAAAGAGACAATCGGACAATTGTTGAAAGTACACGGTCACTGTTACACGAGTCAGGTGCTCCAAAATACTTGTGGGCTGAGGCAGTTATTACTGCTATTTACATACTTAATAGAGTACCTACTTTGTAAACCCCAGGTAAAACGCCATGCGAAATGTGGTGTGGACAAAAACCAACACTTGACCAATTGAAAGTGTTTGGTTGTGATGCATACGCGCATGTGCCATATACGAAAAGCGTAGAAAACTGGACACAAAAAGCGAAAAATTCATGTTCATTGGATATGATAAAAACTCTACGAGCTACTATAGATTTTGTAATCCCATAACAAGAAAAGTTATTATTTCAAGAAATTTTGTGTTTATTGAAAAAAGGCAGAGTGGTTTGAAGCCACAGTGACATTAGAACTCGAAAATGCAGACGTCACTGATTTTGGCGAAGTGGAAGTAGAAGTTGGGAACCAGGTTGAACAAGAAGCGAGACAAGAAGTGGAAGAAATCGAGCAAGAAGAAAATAATGATCATGTTATAGAGAACGGTGAAATGCCAGATTTTAGACCACAGGGAAATGCTCGCATGCCTGCCAGATTTCATGATTTTCACTTGAACTTTGTAAAAATTGTCATTTCAGACTCTTATGATGATGCTATGAAAAGCAAAAAAAAATGGCAAATGGAAAGAAGCGATTAATGAAGAGTATGATGCTTTGTTTAAGAACGACACATGGATAATGGTCGAAACTTCAGAAAATAAGAAACCTATAGAGTCAAGGTGGGTTTTTCGAGTTAAAAGAAATCAAGACGGCACAATCTCAAGATACAAGGCAAGACTATGCTAAAGGATATGCTCAAAAGGAGGGTATATATTATAATGGGATTTATGTTCCAACAACAAGTTTCGATTCAAGAAGAGTATTGCTTGCCATTGCAAATATGAAAGATTAAGAATTTAAGCAGTTCGACATAAAAACTGCTTTCTCATATGGCGAACCCAAAGAAAATATATTTGTACATGAAACCACCACCCGGATTGGACTGCAGAGAAGGTTTTCTTTGCAAGCTAGAAAAGTCATTATATGGCTTGAAACAGAGACCAAGATGTTGGAAATAAGAAATTCAGCACTTTACTACTTAACTTTGGTTTTGAAGCATCAACAGCAGACAAATGTGTCTACACAGGGTACCTACTTCAAAGATATAAAAGTCCTGCTTGTGATATACGTAGATGATTCTCATATCAAACATCAGCGATTGATAGTTTTAGATGAAATAAATAATTGTTTTGAGGTTAAAATTGAACAGAAGCAAATTATTTCGTTGGTATTGAAATAAAAAGGAACTTAAAACAAGGCAAGATGTTCTTAAAACAGTCAAGCTATATAAAAGATATAATAAGACGACTTGCAATGGAAGATGCCGACCCAGTGAGTATGCCAGAGGATCAACATACAAACTTAGCAGTGATGGGAGACAAACTGGTAGACTAGCAGAAGTTACACACAGGCAAGCAGTGGGCTCTCTGATGTTTCTAGCCACTGTTACAAGGCTAGATGTTTCCCATGCAGTGGGAGTGGCAAGCAGATTCCTAAATTGTCCAAACTCAGCCCCTTGGAGTGCAGTCAAGCGAATAATTAAATACCTAATAGGAACACAAAATCATGGTATTGAGTTTGACAAAATGGGAAACATATTACCTACTGACTCTGACTATGCTAGTGATACTCAAACAAGACGTTCAACAAGTGGCTATGTGTACAAGTTATGCAATTGACCCATAACATGGTGGAGCAAGAGACAGCCAACAGTTACACTGTCAACAACTGAAGCTGAATACGTCGCTGCTTCACAAGCCATCAAGGAAGCCATCTGGTTGAAAAAGTTGTTATTCGACATTCACGAAGAATTCATCAAACCAACATTTTTGAATGTTGATAATCAGAGCTCGATAAAATTAATACGAAACCCAGAATTTCACAATAGGACAAAACATATTAATGCCAGTATCACTTCTTGAGAGAAAAATATGAAGCTAGACATACTGTCTTTGTGAATACACGAGGACGCCAGGCCGATATATCCACAAAAGCGCTTCCCAGAAATAGATTTCAAAAGCTTCGCAAGAAACGTGGTATCATTGACGTAATTCTAACATAAAAAAAGGTGGGAGTGTTATTAGTAAGATTTTTGTAATGTTTAATATTTGAATAATATGGTCTGCTATACACTTTTGTTTGGCACGTTGGTTCTGATTTCTACTTGTTTTTTGTCAGGAAACAGTTGCCATAGCGCCAATAGCTGTTTTAATTAGAGATTTTCTCAGTGAGAAAAACCAGTTATTAGCAACCCTTCATTATACTGAGTAGCGGATCAAACTTGGACGCGATAAATAATTTTTAATATCCAAATCAGTGCTCATAGCCCATAAATTTGTGATAGGCATTTCAATCACAAGTATAGTGGAAATAAATGCCTCATATGCTCAAAAGTTATGAATACTAACATAAATATTCACATTTTCATTATCATAATTCTAAAAGTCAAGAACTATGCAAAATAATTTACCGCTTTAATTTACGAAATGGTTAGCCCTGCTGAGACAAAAGAAAAGGTTAATCCACCTTAAAGTAATTTACTTCCCAGCTAGCAGCTCCGACGACATCTTATTACCGAAGCTTTTACATTATAGATATGTCAGAGAGATGGAGAATTATGTTTAATATTCCGAGTGAGAGATTACGACATGCGGTACGAATGCCATACGAAAATTGTGGCCTATCTTGTCAAGGAACGAGGAGGGGAACTATCGCTCAAGGTGCTCAAACTCGAACCGACTGGAATACTAATCTGGCCCGTCGAAGTGATTCACAAGATTGACGAAACCAGTCCATTTTGGGATCTTTCAGCTAAAGACCTTATCTTAAAAAGGTATGTTTAAATAATATAAGTCTTCTGTAAGGGGCCGTATTTCTCTCTTTTGTTAGCCCGGAGTCGCACGTTAAAATGGATTTTCAATCCAATTTAGATGTAATAAACTTACTTGCCTCTCGGGGCAAAATAATTGCTATTCATTTGTAACTTTGGATGAATGGGGATATAATTTTTTCTTGGGCGATTGTGACAAATTCAATTTGAAGTAAAAGACATTCTCTTTATCTGCTTTCCAGAGTTTCCTTTTCCGGATCCTTGTCAAATTACATTAAACTTGTTAATTACCAAAATTAAAATTGGGAAATATTCTTTGGAACGAGTAACTTTTTATTAGGAAGGTTCGCAGATTAGGGACCTTTAGCATTTTGAATAGAAGATCTGCAAGTAAAATCGGGAGTGGGTTGTCATCTATAAATAGGGGCTAACAAGTCTTTACTGTTTGTAAAGTGAGTTTTAGTGGACCTGGAATTCGTGTTCTGAATAGTTCTACAAAGAAGTTGTATTTTGCTATGTGATTTCAGTTTTCGAAGGGAAAAAATATCGATTAAAATCCACCACTGCAGAATACAAAGCTCTAAAAGGATAGGACGAATAAACCAACAAGTTAATGATATGACAAAGCTTATCAACATTATCGGAATAAGCGACATTCAATATGCTTCCAAAACTTCCAGACCAGCAAAAACAACTGACTCCGTTTGAAGTCCTTCAGAGCCAGTTTTCTGTGTTTAGGATTTATTCAAATCTTCAGAAAGTCGCAGCAAAATTACTATTGAAATGAAACGAAGAACGGCGCCAGTATTAACTTCGTGACTGTTTTTTTAATATAAAAATTTACAATAATAACAAAATTAAAATTATTGTCAAACCATGACAACATAACAACTGAATAATCTTCACAAACAGAAAAGCCCACTACTTTTCTTTTATGATGACCACCAAATTTACCAACTGTCGTTATCAAATTGTTGTCACATTTTGTCATAAATATAACCTTAACATAAATAATCATTTATTATATCACAAGAGCTTTAAATTTAATCGATTAAACTATCCAACATATTTTGAGCATGATTTTGCTCGGAAAATAGTTGAATGCACAATAAACGCGATGCGGTCGAGGGCTTTTATTTAAAAGTTATTGTGCCTGAAACTATTTGCCAAAATGCATTTAAATTTATAGGTCGAGTGGTATACAGTTAGATTATTTCCTGAATAATTAGGATTGAATTGTTGGCGTCAATCCTTTCCAAAGAGTTCTATTTATTATAAAATGTCAGAATATTTCTATCAAAATTCTGTCAAAAAAGGTAAACAAAAATTTAATCGCTGATAAACAAAGTCTTGTAGTCTTGTGAAATAATCACTTATTTAAACAAAATTCCTTCAAAAAATGACGTTGTCTGATGGGTCTATTTTATAATGAATGAAATAATCAATAATAAAATAATTCTATTGTAGTTTTTGATATGCCCCCTCAATAAAATTATTTTATTCATAATATGAAAAATAAAACGAAGTGATTAAAATTTAAGAAAAAATCTGGTTTAACAAAACAAACCCAAATCTTTTCTAAATTTTTCAAATTTAACTCTGGCCAATGGCTTAGTAAACATATCTGCCAATTGGTCTTCACTTTTAATGTGAATAATGTTTATTATGCCAGTGTCCAACTTTTCTTTAACAAAATGGAATTTTATGTCAATATGTTTCAATCTTTTATTATTTTCCGGATTATTTGCAATCTTGATAGCAGATTGATTATCTTCATGAATGATAATTGGCATTTCCAGACTAAATAATTGAAAATCATTAATTAATTTTTTCAACCAGCAAGCTTCGCTATCTGCTAATGTTAAAGCTGTGTACTCGGCTTCGGTGGAAGAATTTGAAACACATTGCTGTTTTTTACTGTTCCATGATATACAGCAATTCAATAATTTAAAAACATATGCAGTTGTTGATTTTCTATCGGTAACATCTCCTCCCCAATCGGAATCGACATAACCACTTATAAGTTTATCATCAACATCTGGTTTGAACAATAATTCAACATCAATTGAACCCTTAACATATCTAAGGACTCTTTTCAATGCCTTCAACAAATTATTGTTAGCCTTATCCTACTAAGTAGATTGACACTTTCGCAAAGATCGGGTCTGGAACCTTGAACTGCATAGATAAGACTACCAATAATCTGTCTGCACAGTTTCTGCAACTCAGCATCATTATTTTCATTTCTAAAATCAAAAACAGTATTCATATCTAATGGTGTGTGCATAGGGTTGCAGTCCTGCATTCCAAATCTTTTTAAAAGTTTTTTTTAAATAATTTGTCTGACATAATTCAGCACAACCTTCTTTTAAATTTTGTTTAACATCAATTCCTAAATATTGAGAAATGATTCCAAGATCTTTCATATCAAAATTATTGCAAAATATATGTTTCAATTTTTCTATTTCAGGTAAATCAGTTCCCAAAATTAGTAAATCATCCACATAAATTAAAACATATTATAATTTACTGTTTTCAGAACATTTGAAATATAAGCAGTGATCATTTTCGGACCTAAGAAAATCCTCGTTTTTCATGAGTGAATCAAATTTAGTGTTCCAACATTTAGGACTTTTCTTAAGACCGTAAATAGATTTATTCAACTTACAAACAGTACTGCTATTATTTCTATTATTGTCAGGTAGACTCATATAAACTTCCTCATTTATTTCCCCATGTAGGAAAGCACTCTTGACGTCCATTTGAAAAATAGGCTTACCGCTTACCCAACTTGCATGCAATCACAATAAAAACTCTGAAAGTTGTAAGTTTGGCAACAGGAGCGTAAATATCATACAAATCTTCACAGACCTGCTGAAAACCACGAGCAACAAGTCTTGCCTTATATTCATTATCACTTTTTATTTTAAAAACCCACTTACTGTCAATCACCTTTTTGTCCACTGGCCAAGGTACTTCACTCCAATACTCATTTTTTTTAGCCCATTAAGTTCTTTTTTGATAGCTTCTTTCCAATTATCACTATTTTTCCCTGAAACAGCTTCCTCAAAAGTAACTGGTTCTTCATTTTCTGAATAAAAACACATATCTGCTGAATCTCCGAACACATCAAAGTCTTTTAACCATGTTGGTCTCTTGATACTTCTTTTTCCATGTCTTCTAGTTATATTTCGAGTTACATTTTCCTGTTCTGGCATCACTTCAAGTGTTTCAGTCTCGTATTCCGGTTCGTTTACGTTTTCTTCGGTTTCTGTATTATCATTTTCCAGGAAAATATTATCTTCTTCATCATGATTTATTGTAGGCTCTTCTTCATTGTCTTGACTTTCTTCTTTATTTTCACTGGGATTTTCAAAATTTAGAGAAATAGTGGTTTTGCTGTCTTTTTCCAATTTTGTTCTATTCTCATCTGCATTATCATTTTTAGGTATAAAAATTACATCCCTGTGAATTTCAACTTTTTCTTTCAGTGGCAAAAATACCCTAAAGCCTTTTACTTCTTCAGAGTATCCCATAAAAATACCAATTTCATTTTTAGCATCCAATTTCAAACGTTTGGCTTTGGGAACATGTACACTCACTTTTACGCCAAATTCTTGAAAAATATCCATATTGCATTTCTTTCCATGCCACACTTCAAAAGGTGTTTTGTCATTTTGAGGACACTTTGCAGCTCTATTCAATGTATATACTACAGTATTTGCAGCTTCCGCCCAAAAACGTTTTCCCAAACCTGAGCTATGCAAAAGAGTTCTCACAGATTCCACTATTGTTTTATTATCTCTTTCTGTACGCCCATTTTGCTCTGGTGTATAAGCACATGTTCTTTGATGACAAATTCCTCTTTCTTCACATATCTTTGTTATTTTTTTATTAATAAATTCCAATCCATTATCTGTCCTGAACGTCTTGATTTTATTTCCAGTTATATTTTCAGTATTATTAATAAAAATTTTGAATTTACTTTCTACTTCTGATTTATTTTTTAGGAAATAAATATGCCTATAACCTGAATGATCGTCTTTTAATAATAAAAAATATTTTGCTCCTCCAAGAGACGATACTTCAAATGGTCGGCAAAGATCACCATGAATTAAATCACAAGTCCCTTCTGCTCTCGATTTGCTAATTGGAAATGAAAGTCTATGCTGCTTCCCAGCTAGACATTGGACACAAAATGTGTTTCTTTTGATGAATGAAATATTGTTTCTTCTCAAGACTTTTTCAACCTGATCAAAATTGATATGACATAATTTTTGATGCCAATCTTCCAAACTTAGCACAACATTGCATTGCATAGGCTGATTATTAATACTTGAAAATTTAATTTTATATAACTTTCCTTGTCTTTCAGCTATTGCTCGCACTTTGCCATTTTTGTCCAATAATTCACATTTCTCTTTATCAGAATGCATTTCCAAATCTTTATCTAAAGCAGTACTCAATCAAAATAAATTTATGGCTAAATCGGGTACATAAAGCACATTATTCAAATCGGTTCTTACCCATTTATCTCCATTACATGCTTCAACTTGCACTGTACCTTTTCCTTTTACAGAAACCAATGTGCCATTTCCTACTCGAACTTCTCTTTCTATAGGCTCTTTATTTATTTCTAGAAACTAGTTTTCGTCAAAACACATATGCTCAGTAGCACCACTGTCCAACCACCAATAATTGGAATTATCATTGTTCTGGCCTAACATTGCCATAACATCATGACCATTCAAGATTGCACCTGATTTTGATTCACCAACTAATGCTTGATCACCTCTTCTATCATTTTTCTTTTCATTAGAATCTTTTCTCTTCCTAAACTAACAATCTTGAATTACATGTCCAGTTTTCTTACAGTAATTGCACTGTTTTTTAACTGATTGAGGACAATTTTTAATCATATGGCCTGTTCTATTGCATCTGTAACATTTTACATCACTCTTCGAATGAAATCTCTTTTTAACTGAAAAAGCCATTGTTTCTTGTGAAACTTTATTCCTATCTTCTTCTATCATTAGCCTAGACATTAAGTCTGCCAATGTTTGATTATCTGAAGGGGTGGATTCCCATGCAGAAACAAAATGTTTCATATTTTCTGGAAGAGACATTAATACTTTCGTAATTAACATTTTGTCACTTACTTCTTCGCCCATGCCTTTCAAATTTACTTTAATTTCCTCTAATTTCGACACAAACTCAGCTGCACATCCTTCATATTCCAACGAGAATAACTTCTGAGTTAACAAATGTACACTTACTTGCGACTGATGTTCATAAATTCTTTTTAACTTCATCCACATTTCAGCAGACGTTTTGCATGTCAAAATGTGTGTCAAAATTTTTTCTTCCAACCTCAGAACAATTATTTCTTGGGCTTTTATGTCTATTTTATCCCAAGCAGTTACATCGCCTTCAGTTGGTCTCGGCTTTGATCCTTCAACAACCTCAAAAAAACCTTTGGATTTTAATATTATTTCTACCTGAAATTTCCATAAGGTCCAATTTTCTCCATTGAATTTTGTAATAGTATTTACTCCAACCTGGTCCGTCATTTTGTTTTCGTCTTAACACGAAGTTTTCTCTTCCTTAGAAAAACTTTCCGGGTTTTCACTCCCGTCTTAATCCGCAGACTCTAACTGACTATAGTAGTATAGTTAGTACTACTTCTTCGCGAGTCTGGGCCCGTAACCTATTGAAATGAAACGAAGAACGGCGCCAGTATTAACTTCGTGACTGTTTTTTTAATATAAAAATTTATAGTCCCCAGTACATCGACCCTAAAATTTTGTAACTCATGTACACGCCAAACTTCCTGAGCGGCTTCATAACACCAAGTCGGACAATATTTTTCATATCTCCACCCTGGGCGATGGGACATTGCCGCGCTAGCTCTTCGTGAAGTTGTCGTTCTGACGTCCCTAAGGAAGTTGATACATGTACGTGTAGTTTCAATGCCAATCGACTGCTTTTTACATTACATTAACGATATCACATTTGTCGGACAAAAACCATGTGGCTTTGGGGAAGGTCCGACGCCATCAACATGTCGCTGTGGCGTCCCTGAGGAAGTTGATACATGTACGTGTGGTTTTGATGCCAATCGACTGTTTTCTATGTTACATTATTGATATCACATAGGTCGGACAAAAATCACGTGTCTTTGGGTGGGTCCGACGCCCCCAACATGTCGCTGTGACGTCCCTAAGGAAGTTCACACATGTATGTCCGACAAAAATAATTATGAATAACGATGTATTTTTAAAACATGTGCAGTAAATGTCGGACAAATAAAATGAGTATTAAAGTCAGTCGGACAACAAAAGTCGTTTTGATCAATTTCTGCCGAAATTCAGGATCTTCACTCCTGAGATTGCACAAAAAACACGACTGAATATCCATTCTTTCTCACACGCGTGGTTTTGAATGACCGTTTACTGAATAATTTCCGTAAATGCTCGGAGAACTATCAAAAAAACAGATTAGGGAATATGACACAGGGCCCCACAGGTATTTGACAAAGTAGGTAAATAATAAACTGACTAATATGCATGTTGCGTTAAGGCAAACTAATTGTAATTTTTTCATTGATTGTCTCAAATTTCTTGTCCGACAAATGTGATATCGTTAATGTAATGTAAAAAACTGTCGATTGGTATTAAAAACACACGTACATGTATCAACTTCCTTAGGGACGCCACAGCGACATGTTGAGAGCGTCGGACCCCCCCGAAGCCACGTGATTTTTGTCCGACATATATGATATCGTTAATGTAATACAAAAAACAGTCGATTGGCATTAAAACTACACGTACATGTATCAACTTCCTTAGGGACGCCACAGCGACATGTTGGGGGTGTCGGACCTTCCCTAAAGCCGCATGGTTTTTGTCCGACAAATGTGATATCGTTAATGTAATGTAAAAAACAATCGATTGGCATTGAAACTACACGTACATGTATCAACTTCCTTAGGGACGTCAGAACGACAACTTCACGAAGAGCTAGCGCAGCAATGTCCCATCGCCCAGGGTGGAGACATGAAAAATATTGTCCGACTTGGTGTTATGAAGCCGCTCAGGAAGTTGGGCGTGTACATGAGTTACAAAATTTCAAGATCGATGTACTGGGGACTATTACAATAATAACAAAATTAAAATTATTGTCAAACCATGACAACATAACAACTGAATAATCTTCACAAACAGAAAAGCCCACTACTTTTCTTTTATGATGACCACCAAATTTACCAACTGTCGTTATCAAATTGTTGTCACATTTTGTCATAAATATAACCTTAACATAAATAATCAATAATAAAATAATTCTATTGTAGTTTTTGACAATTACTCAAAAATCAAGTAATAACAAATTATTAGGACGGTTTATCAAGAGCTAATTTTGAATAAAATAAGATAGGATCTGCTTTTTTTACACCATTTTTCAGAAGTTTTAGCTACAAATTCCGTCGTAAAAAATACCTTCTGGACAATGGTTTGTCTCCTATTGCGAACTGATATCGCCGTTGGTCGTTTAGAATTTGAGCAAAAAATCACAGATTCGCAATGGACAGACCTTCAAAAATATGCTAAAGGTGTCTAATGTGCGACCCTATTACCAATGTTCATTGAACTCTATTTGTTAGTAACTTTTATAAATATTTTCCTCTACTGCACCAGAAACACGAATGTAGGATCCTAATTATGCCAATTTCAATATTGTTTTATGTCCGAAGTATGTACTCACTATCTTTTCCTCTAGGTTCGAGATAATCGTAGTCCTAGAAGGTGAATGCCTATCCACATCGTACATGTCAAGATCAACCACATCTTACCTCAGTAGAGAAATAAAATGGGGCTACAAGTTCACACCGTGCACAACATGGAATACTGTGAAAAGAACTTACGTTGTTGATCATAAATTGTTTAATAATACTGAAGAAGTCGTTACGGCTTTGTGTAGTGCGCAGAGACTCGTGCAAGTTTATGATGATATCGTTTCGGATACTTTGTCTCCATATAATGGAAGTGTTTTTGGTAGCTCGAAATACTCTAGTCCAACTATAATGAGCCCAATGCCTACAACTAATTTACATAACAAATCAAATATTTCTAATGTAGACGAACTTGATGTAGATACTTCATCAGAAGATGAAATTAATAGCACTCGAGCAGAAATCCATTACAAACCGAATAAAAGTGAAAAAAGCGACTCTTCGTCTTCGGCTGAAGAATATTCTACTTTCATGGATTTAAGTGTAGAATCTTTAGATCAACTTAGAAAAAAGAAAAAGGTTTCTGTACAAGTAAGAAGTAAGTTGGAAAGTGGGAGTGATTCTCGTCCAAGAACATTGAGCGGCACTGCCAAGGATTTTATATCTAGTATACAGAGATATGTAGGGACGAGTAAAAATAGGGGTAGCAGGAAGTATGAGGAGACCTCGTTTTAAATACAAACTAATAATTATATATATATTAGTTCGGGAAGAAACGAAAAATATAAATATGCAACAATCAACAACTATTCGGTCCCTTTTCATATAATAAATGTATAATATTCATAATAGGGTTTAAATGCACTTATATATGTATGTACAGTGTCATTACTTAAGTGTGCAACATATGGATTTTTTTTTAGTAATAGCACAATCAAAATACAAACAAGGTCAAAAGTTGGTGCATGTCTAATAATCATATTAGGTGCACTTAGAATGGTTGCAAGTCAAACAGCATACAGGGTAGCTCAAAAAATATCAAAATTGTAGTAATATTTACTTGAATAAAATGAAACTTTTGCACTTTAAGGAGAGTTTTTTCAATATGGCTATTATCATTAGTAATGTTTTAACTTGTTAAAAAAAAATTGCGACATTTTAAAGTTCTGTTGAATATCATTGCAACAAACATGAATTTTGTGATTCCATAAAAAATTAAAAATCTGAGTTAACTTTACAAATATACTTGAATTTGAACAAAGTTATGTAAAAGTGATTTGATTTTAATTAGTTTTTGAAAGTATTAAGGGCGGAAATAAAAATTAAAAAAATTATAGATTTTTTTCGAATAAAAATAAAAAAAATCTTAGGAGGCTATGTTCTGGTACTTAGGCATAACTTTTAATTCCAAACAACTTTTCTCTATAACATTTCGCTGAATTTTCTAAAATAAGGGTACTTTCCAGTACAGATCTGATATTGTTTGAGCTACCCTGTATGCTGTTTGACTTGCAACCATTCTAAGTGCACCTAATATGATTATCAGACATGCACCAACTTTTGGCCTTGTTTGTATTTGGGTTGTGCTATTACTAAAAGAAAATCCCATATGTTGCACACTTAAAAAATCACACTGTATATTTAGCGAAAGTTATTGCTTATTCAGATCAATGATAAATAGTAGGTATAGTTTGAGTATATACTGTTGTTAACATTGGTTATTTATAATGGAAATTGCATTGTGTGATAAATAAAATTTTTGTTTTTATTTTATTTTATTTATTGTCAACGGGTATAACCCAATTTTACAAATGATAAATCATAAAACATCAAAAAAATAACAAAAATTAATAAGTCCAATGGCCGTTTGCATCGACCATTCCAAGGAAGCTCCAGCGATAAGCATTCCTCAAAGTGACATTTCTCCGTGTAAAAATGTCATTTTACGGAATACTAATCGCTGAGGCTTCCCCAAAATGGTCGGTGCAAACGGCCATAAGACATAAAAATTACTCAGAAAACAAGTCAACACAAACATAAATAAGATTAGGTTTAGCTTAATTAACAGACCCTCCAAGACAATGAAGTGAGGTGCTGAATACATCCACTTCCAGATCGTTAGCATTCATAAGTATTCTATTTAATGAAAAATACTGTCCATAATTTGTTCGATGACATTGTAGTTTGAATGTATTAACAACTCTCAACCGTCTTGGAGGGACATACATAGGTATCAGCTCCAAAAGATCACTAGACTCTATAATATTATCAAGTAATTTATAAATAAAATTTTTATCAAATTTAGTACGCCTTTCGTTTAATGGTTTGATTTTTAACAAAATTTTAATATAACTGCACGTAAAATTCTCTCTGCTAATACCCAACTTATAACTGGAATATCTTAAAAACTTATTTTGAACTCGCTCAATCTTATCCTTATGAACCAGTGGCGGCTCGTGTTAATATAAGATGGTAGTGCCAGAATTCCGAAAAAAAAAAAAAAAAATTGGGGTGCCACGCCTAAATTTTTACCCAAAAACCGTATTAAAAACACGTCTGGGTCAAAAATTTATTCCGATATTATTTTTGTCATAGTTTTGTTAAATTCACGACAGCGCGATTTTTGCCCACTTCCACGCTGTTTCTCAATTTTTAAATCCGGGATTGGCCGGCCTAATTCTTAAATTTGTAATTTTTCTTCTAGCGAAAAACCACTACGAGTTTTTTAAGACGCCAATTTCATTCATTGTCAGAATAAATTAAAAACTAAGAAATGGGATAAGAATACTGTCAATAAGCTAAACGTCCGCCAGGCTGTCAAGAATCGATCGCGGAAATACTAGAATCTAGCGAATTATTCTACTTTAATCTGGAAAATTAGATTATCGTGTGTATTCTAGATTTCACAGGAATAGATTTAGGGATATATAAGAAGGCCGGCATTGGTTTGTAAGTTAGTTTCAGTTCGACTGTGATATGATTTAAATAGTGATTGTAAAGAGTTTAATTGTTGAGTTAGTAAAGTAATTAGTGTCAGAGTGTTTTGTTAAGTGGAATAAATTATTGCTGTGTTAATTGGACTTTGATTTTTGGAATAAACGAAACGAACGACGAACCCAAGATTTTTGTCAGCAGGCAACCCAAAGCCGTAACAGTGGTGTCAGGAGTGAGATATAAAAGACTGTAGAGTGAAATCCAATTACGGAAGTGCGGGGACACTAGTGTAGTATAAAATCTGAACACTAAGTGAACACTGGGACAGTTAGTGCAGTGCAAACAGTGACAATCACAAAAAGAGACTTAACCGATCGTGTGAATTACCCTGGAAGTGACTCTATACCCGATTTAGACTGTGATAGTGAATCTTCGAGTGAGTTCTAGAAAATTCTATTTGGAAACTAAGGGAGATATTGAATTTGTGACTTCGCCGACGTATTCGGAACATCAAACAGAAGAGGTTTTTCGAGGAGTTTCGGGAAAATTCTAGAACATTCTATTTGGAAACCAAAGGAGATATCGAAATTGTGACTTCACCGACGTATTTGCTGTATCAATCGACATTTAGAAAAGAAGTTTCAAGAAAATTCCAGAACATTCTATTCTAGAATAAAGCAAGTTATCCAATTTGTGACTTCACCGGCGTGTTTGGAACTTCGAGCAAAGACCAGAAAAGATATTTGAAGAAAGTTCGAGGGAAATTCTAGAACATTCTGTATATGCCTATCACAAGACAACAAGCCAAAATGGACGAACAAAAAGTTGAAGAACTTCTGCGCAAAATGTTGGAACTTCAAGAGACCAAACGACAACAAGAAAAACAAGACGAAGAAGCTAGACGACTACAAGAAAAACAAGACGAAGAAGCCAGACGACAACAAGAAAAACAAGACGAAGAAGCTAGACGACAACAAGAAGAGGCTAGAAGACAACAAGAAAAACAAGACGAAGAAGCCAGACGACAACAAGAAAAACAAGAAGAACAAGCTAGGCGACAACAAGAAGAAGCTAAGCGACAACAAGAACGGCAGAAGGACCTTGGAAGACTACAGAAAATATTCCAAACCATACAAGGAACTGTCGCTAACCTAGACGAGAAGATTGAACAAGTTAAAGACGATGTGCAAGAAGTTAAACACGACGTTCAAGAAGTAAAAGCTGAAGTCAAAACCGATGTTCAGCAATTAAGACAAGAAGTTGAGGACCAAGTTCAAGCACTCGAAGAAAAGATGCGTAGATTAGAAATACAGTCCATCAATTCAGCTAGTGTTGGAGCATTCTCCAGTATGAAGATAAAACCACCAACTTTCGACGGCTCTACGTCCTGGACCATGTATATTCGACAATTTGAAGCTGCTGCAAATACCAACGGATGGAACGATCAAGAAAAAGCTACAGCACTGATAGTGGCGCTACGAGGACCAGCCTTAGATCTTCTTCAGTCCATTCCTTCAATCTACCAACAGAATTACCAGCATCTAAGTCAAACTTTAGAACTGCGCTTCGGAGACCATTACAGACAAGAAGTATTCAGAACTCAAGTTAAATCAAGAGTTCAAAAACCCGGCGAGAGTCTACAAGAATTCGAATCGGAAGTTAAAAGACTAGTGAGTTTGGCGTTTCCTGCAGCTAGGGAAGACATACAAGAATGGATGGCAGTATCTACGTTTATTGATGGTCTCCGGGATGCCAAGATCCAGGAAAACCTACGAATGTCCAAATTCAGGAAAAGTAGCGAAGCCCTTGTCCGAGCATTAGAACTGGAAGCAATCTTTGGTGCCTCACGACCCAGAGTACGAGCAGTGTCCATTGAAGACCCAAAAGATAAACAATTGGCAAAAGAGGATGACAGCTTTGAAACCCAAATGAGTAATTTCATGGAGAGAATGGAGAAACTGTTACTAGAAGATAGAAAAATGGGAAACGATTCCAGACAAACACCAAGAAACCGAGTAAAATGCTACCGGTGCCAAAAGCTTGGACACATGCAATGGGATTGTAGACTAAGGATGTCCTTTCCATCTAGGGATCATTCTCAACGCTTTTCAAGGTCTAGAGACGCCAGCCCTAATAATAAACAGGAACCAACTAGTACGAAAGGGAGGATGCTGGCTAGTAATGACGAAACCGCAGAGTTGTTTACATAAAATCATTGGGCAGTCATTATAGAGGATTAAAATTCGAAGGACAAACTAATGGAGAATTGAAAACCATTACTTTTGATACGGGTGCTGAAGTTTCCATAATTAAAAGAACATTAGTCAAGTCTCGGGCAATCCAACCGCTCACTAGAAACCTGTCACTACGAACAGTCACCGGCGAATCTGCAGCAGTTCAAGGAGAAGCTATGGTTGAGCTCACTTTTGGATCTACCACCTTCAGGCACAAAACATTAGTCGCCGATATAGAAGATGATTTTATTTTGGGAATGGATTTGATCGGCCAACATGGTTTCTCTTTTGATCCTTCCATGAACATCCTTAAATTTGGTAATGAAGAAATTGTCCTAACAACACAAGAAGAATCCGATGCCGTTAAGATCTTGGCCACAACCCCAGTGAGGATTCCTGGAAGTACTGAGAAGATCATTTGCGGAAGATTAGAAACAAATTCTGGGTGCTGCGTTGGGCTAACACGTAATTTCATTGGAGATAAACCAGAAAGATTTCTTGTTGGAAAGACCCTAGTAAGAACAAATGGAGACATTATGATAAGAATTGCCAATGTTTCTTCCGAAACAGTAAGAATAAAAGAAGGAGACATTATTGGAGCTCTCGAACCAGTGAAGCAAATATCGAACTGTGACCTACCAGATAAGCGACATTTTGTGAAATCCAAATTAGATACAGACACCTTGATGCAGACCTTGGCGAAATCATGGAAACATCTCGATCCAGATAGACTTCAAGAAGCCACAGATTTCATTTTGAAAGAAGCAGACGTATTTGTGATGGACAATCAAACCGGCCGAACCAGCTTAATTCAACACAAAATTGATACTGGATTGGCACACCCAATTAGACAACCACCACGACGTATGCCAGTAGCGAAGCAACAGGAAGTGGAAAACCAAATTGATAAAATGCTTCAAGAGGGAATCATTGAAGAGTCAAATAGTCCATGGTCCGCGCCAGTAGTATTGGTTACGAAGAAAGATGGGAGTCTTAGATTTTGTGTGGACTACCGAAAGCTTAATGACGTCACCAAGAAGGACAGCTTCCCTCTCCCAAGAATAGACGATACACTAACAACTCTATCGGGCTCCAAATGGTTTTCCACCTTGGATCTCAAAAGTGGATACTGGCAAGTGGCAATACATGACGATGACAAAGAGAAAACTGCCTTCAGTACCGGTAGCGGACTATACCAGTTTAATGTAATGCCTTTCGGATTGTGTAATGCTCCAGCTACGTTTGAGCGACTGATGCATCTTGTTTTGCGAGGCCTTACATGGAGAACTTGCCTGGTATATTTGGATGATGTCATGATTATGGGAAATTCGTTCCAAGAACATCTCAATAACCTAAAAGAAGTTTTTGACCGCTTCCGGAATGCCAACTTGAAACTCAATCCAAATAAGTGTTTCCTATTTCAAAAGAAAGTGGAATTCTTGGGTCACGTGCTATCTGAAGAGGGCATACAAGTTATGGAAGGAAAAATAGATGCTGTCAGGGACTGGCCAAAACCACGCGACAAACATGAACTAAGGAGTTTTCTAGGATTATGTTCTTATTATCGAAGATTTGTGGAAGGATTCGCCAAAATAGCTGC